GCTGCTTTCATTGTCTAACTGGAGATATGCTTCCTATAGGGAGACCGTGGAGAGTCTGGTATGTCTGGACCCCCAGGACCCCCTGGTGCTCCAGGAGCCCCCGGAGTGGTCGGCGGCTCTGGAAAGTCTGGTGACCGTGGAGAGTCTGTAAGTCTCCTTCCTGCTCATTTAGAATATTTATAACAAAACTGGCTTTGAAGAAAACGTTTAATCTGATATTTTTCTACACTCTCTTCTCTCTCAGGGCCCCGCTGGTAATGCCGGCCCTGCTGGCCCTGCTGGTGTCCGTGGCCCCGCTGTATGTACATATTCACATTACAAGCATCATTTGTAAACTTTGATTTGAGATATTGCTCCGACTCATGGCGTATAAAACCTGAAAAGAGCCATGTTGACCTCCTGTTCTTCCATATAGGGCCCTGCTGGTACAAAGGGAGACAGAGGAGAGGCTGGTGAGGCTGGAGACAGAGGACACAAGGGACACAGAGGATTCACCGGAATGCAGGGTCTTCCCGGCCCCTCCGTGAGTGACAGTTTATAAGTGTACACAAGACTGCATCAAACTAATCTAAACTTTTCTCCTTTTTATATTCAAACATTCTTTCCTGAAATGCAAACTGGTAATATCTGATACTCACATCTTCTTCTGCCTCTAGGGAGGATCTGGAGAGAGAGGACCTGCTGGTGCTTCTGGACCTGCTGGACCCAGAGTAAGTAGACCTGCAGAAAAAAAACAACAACAACATAAAATGCCAAGTCACTACCAATGGGGAACTTGGAGGATTTGCCAGGAGACGTCTTGTTTTAGCATTGGTCAGTTGTAAAAAACAAACAACATTAAAACCATTTGCAGGACTTTATGTGTTATAATAACTTCCAATTACTTGACTAATTTGGCAGTTTTACACATCAAAACTGAACTTTTAGGACTTAATGACAGATGTATGGTTTTATTTAGCCTTAGCCCTTAGTCCTATTGAGATCCAAGATAGACTTGGCCAACAACACCGTTTTTTAAATAATTAAAACACATATATCTGAGTTATAGTAATCAGATAAGACATTTGCACAGATAGCCTTGACTCAATATATTTCACCAGTGTTAAACTCATTCAGGGTTTCTATATTTTTAAGTTTAAGCTCAGTCTGCAAGTTGTTCTATGCAGTTGGTGGAAAAAATCTAAGAAAGTATTTCCCCCCCAATTTCTCAGTACAACACATCACCGTAATCAATGACAGGTAAAAAGGTAGACATCACCAGTTTGACTAAAAAAAACTTGTAGATGTTTTCTTCTCATTAAGTGATCATGTGGCTCGTGTTCCATAGGGACCCTCTGGATCTAACGGCACCCCCGGTAAGGAGGGCGTCAACGGCCTGCCCGGACCCATCGGACCCCCTGGACCTCGTGGTCGCAATGGAGAGATGGGACCTTCCGTAAGTTGCTCTACCATCTTTGTTATAAGCAAATACATTCAGACACTCTGAATATGAATCTGCAGTTTGTAAACCTACTTGTGTCTTCGTACAGGGTCCTCCAGGACCTCCCGGAGCCGCTGGACCCCCCGGACCTCCCGGCAGTGGATTCGACTTCGTCAGCCAGCCTATTCAGGAGAAGGGACCCGATCCCTTCCGCGGCGGCCACTACCGCGCTGATGACCCCAACATGATTCGCGATCGTGACATGGAGGTTGACACTACCCTCAAGACCCTGACCCAGAAGGTTGAGAAGATCCAAAGCCCTGATGGTACCCAGAAGAGCCCAGTCCGCATGTGCCGTGACCTGAAGATGGCCCACCCCGAATGGAAGAGCGGTGAGTGCAGATCAGAGCCCGATTCAGCTTGTGGAGATGGATAATAGGGATGAGCTCAGATTTAAACCGCTTTGGATGTTCTTCTGTTACAGATATGTTCTGGGTTGACCCCAACCAGGGATCCGCTCTTGATGCTATCAAGGTCCACTGCAACATGGAGACTGGCGAGACTTGCGTCTACCCCAGCGAGTCCAGCATCCCCATGAAGAACTGGTACCTCAGCAAGAACATCAGAGAGAAGAAGCACGTCTGGTTCAGCGAGTCCATGACTGGCGGATCCCAGGTAAGAAGTTGCAGAATTCAGAATCATCCTTGCGAACTGATCAGACCATTGGATATGTATTTAAATCAGAGTAATTTAAACCAATGCACCCTTCTCCTTCCTTCGCCACGCAGTTCCAGTATGGCAGCGATGGAGCTGATACCGACGATGTCAACATCCAGATGACCTTCATGCGCCTGATGTCCAACCAGGCATCTCAGAACATGACATACCACTGCAAGAACAGCATTGCCTACATGGACTCCGCCACCGGCAACCTGAAGAAGGCCCTCCTTCTCCAGGGAACCAACGACGTTGAGATCAGAGCCGAGGGCAACAGCCGCTTCACATACAGCGTCAGCGAGGATGGCTGCACGGTAAGTTTGTTCAGGAGCTTGCATTTAGAATCAGAAACATCCACAGTAGATTTTGCACAGTGTTATTTCAAAAACAGTGTTGTTACAGTATTAACTAGTGAAATAGCAACTAGCAACAATATTAGAAAAGTTAAAAAAGTTTATATAGCACACACAATTATGAAAATGTAAAATCATCCTTTAGAGACGCAGTTTTTGATTTTTGCTCCTTGTCCTTCTTCTCCACAGTCACACACTGGCACATGGGGCAAGACAGTCATCGACTACAAGACATCAAAAACATCTCGCCTGCCCATCATTGACATTGCTCCTATGGATGTTGGTGCACCTGATCAGGAATTTGGCGTCGAAGTTGGCCCCGTCTGCTTCTTGTAAAAAGAACGAAATTTGGACATGACATTGTTGTTTTTTTTCTAGCAGTCATCTCTAAATCCCTTTTCCTATGCATTCAAAACTCATTCGGCTGCCATTGGCCCACATGCTTTAAAACCACTCTACTGAAGACCATGTTTGTGTTTTTACAATCATGAGAAGTTTTTGGGACTGCTACTTCAACCAAAACCGACCACAAGGACACTTTAAAAAGAATCTTTTGTTTCCACTGGCAACAAGAAAATAATATATGCTTGTGTAAAATGTCCCCCTGGAGATTGAGAAAAAAAAAAAGATCCACACACGCAATGAAACACAGGTGACTTTTGCCATTTTCTACCACTGCGGAAGGACATTGAAAACAACAAGTGATGTGTACCATTTTTCTGGTGTTAAATAAATTGTAAAAAGTGTGAAGTGTCTTGTATTAAATTCTTAAAAGAAGCTCAGACAAAGACCAGCAAAAGAGCAAAAAGCTCACCTTCATTGCAAAACGTAGATGGCTACCTCAAAAACAAGAAATCACCACCGTATTTGTTCTTAAATGAAAAGGGAATATTTTACACAAGTTTATTGTGGGGAAATCAAAAAAACATTCAAAGGTGCTATGACCATTTCATTGAGGTCCAGATATTGGTGTTTGATGGTGAATCTCTCGCTGTCATACTGTAATTATTGCCACTAATGCCTGCAGAACCTCTGGTGCTAAATTGACTCATGTCTTGTTGTCTCTGCAGTGCAATTGTTTTCTTCTTAAGTGTTCTGAAAAGGTGATCACTGCAGATGTAATGCATGCAATCATGTCTTTGTTGATAAAAAGCAAGTGACTCTGGTTAAATATCATTTCCCCCTGCACATCAGTGTTGATCCCTCTGTCTGTTTGCCCACCGGGGAAAACTCCTCCTCACTAAAAAAAAAAACAGCACACATCTCCCACCCTGTTGTTTATGTTGTTTGTTGATGTCTTTCGCGAAGGGTTTCTTAAAAAATAATTTGAAGCAGACCCACTTTCATGGTTTAAAATAGAGATTCTGTACTTATTTTGTACATGTATAATAAATTGAGATGTTTTTAATTATTTTGGGTGCTGAAATAAAGCATGTGAAGTGGTCTACTCAGTGGCTGAGTTTTCACTGTCCTGATTTGCAACTGTTGTGAAACTAAAATCAGGTGTTAAGATTTTGGGAAATAATAAATATAGGCCTACTTAAGCTACATTGCACATGTTGTAGTTGGAAACATGGATGCCACATCAAAAAACAGTTAAAATAGGGTTCAGGATCAACTGTTCCACTACAGTTGCACTGAGTACATTGCTATTAAGCAGCAGTGAAAACAACGCCAATATATAATAATCCAACCTGGCTTTTTCTTATCAATACACATACATTCGCTGCTGATTTGAATCTGAATATATTTAGGAATTTGAGCTAAAACAGTATAAAATGAAAGTGTTAACTATCTATTGCATTAAATATCACTTTACATGTTTTGATCCCCCACCAAAAAATAAGGAATTTGCATGAAATTGCCAAGGGAGGACATGTTTCTTGAACCAAAAATATTCCCATATTAGATGAAGCCCGGCCCCTGCTGGATATTCAATGCAACAATAGTCGCCTGGGAAGTTTAAAACGGAATCAAAACAATAAGAAACCTGCTGCTGCACTGCCCTCTGGTGGTTTCATGTGGTCAGGTCTCACTGCCTCAACACCAAAACCAGACAAAATATGTCGCCCTCTGAGAAAAGATTGAATAAATATTATTTTATAGCGATATAAAGATGATTTGAATGCAATTGAGCAGTGGGTCTTAACTATTATGGAGTGTGACCCTTTAAAGTAACACAAACAAACAAAGGTAGCTCATGAACATATGCAAAATGAGCTGATAATCTGATCTTAACCAAAGTGACAATAGGTCCAAAGAGGTCAAATTATATCAGAAAAATAGATCACAGGAGGAATACATCGAAACCAAACCTTGCTCAAGTTGCCAAGAATCTCCGATATGAGTGCTTCTCCGTTAATATCCACTAGTACTGAAGAATGTCTGTAAAAAGCCTTTAAAATAGAGTAACAACGCTTCAAGTCTGTCTTAAAACAATAGTAAGGTGTCAATTAGAGAATAAAAATACTTGAGAAATAGTGCAAATCTTAGCCTTTGACACAACAATGAAGAATGTGACTTCTGATCTTTTTTTATTGGCAGTTAAAGATGGCGGAAAAAACTAAGTCATAAACAGCAAATAACAACTTTACAAACTACTATTTTACTTTAAGAAAAAAAAAAGATTTACCACTGCAAATATATAACCATAGACTTTATGAATGACACAAAGGGAAAGGGTTAGGCTTTATCCATCTTCTCATTTCCTGGAAAAACAAACAACGTAATGAGTTAATGTTCTTGAAAACATTTTCAAGATTATTCTTCAATTATAGAGAAGAATGAATGCAGTGTTGTATGAGGAAGTCACTTGAGTGGTTTTACCTGGGCAGCGTGTCGCTGTATGGATCACTACGAAAACAGGAGAACAAACACAAATCAGCAAAACTGAACACCGATATACAAAGAAGTAATTATTATTGAAGCAGTATGCTGGTATGACAATAAAGCATCAGTGGGAGTGGTCCTTACTGCTGGGCCAGGATGAGGGGGATGCTGGGGCTGTCACCCCGCAGTGGGGCCCGGTCCAAAGTGCGGCTGTTGAACATGGGCAGTGTGGACAGAGGAGAAGCAGAACTACGCTGTCCCGCCATGTTCCTCAGCTCGTCAGTGTTCCCGTGGATGGTGTGGTGGTGGTACAGCTGAATCCTGCAGCAAACAAAACAACACATACAGCATTATGTGCTTTTTCTAAAAAAATATCCATGGGTTCGTAGATAACGCTTAAAAAAACAAGTTTTTCAGCCTTACATAATATGTTTTTTTACAAAAATGTATTATAGATTGAAAGGCAGAGTGAATAGATGAGTTATGAGGGCTTTTTTGAAAGATGCTAAAGTGTTGGCCTTTCCCATGTGATTGGGGAGGGAGTTCCAGAGGGAGGGGAGGCTGCAGCAAAGACCCTGATGCCCGGAGCTTGTTCCTGATTGGCTGTAGAAGATGGGGTGTGTTGTGTTGTATTTGATGGGTAACCAGTCGGAGGATGCTGTTGCAGAATGACCTCGTACCCATGGTTAGCATCTTACCGCGTGAAGGATTTTAGTCATTGGACGAATGGATCTTTAGTTAGATGATTCATGTGAAAATACATTGTGTAAAGTCTGTATTCAATCAGAGAACAGAGAAAAATGTACTTACTGGTTCGTTCTTGCATTCCTCTTCATACTATGAGAAAAAGAGAAAAATGTCACCTCTGTGTCACAGAATATCAGGATCAATCAAGGGCTTGCCTTAAAGGGTCAGTTCACCTACAAAACAGAAATGTGTGTATTTCCCCTCCAGTGGTACATATTGCATTGTTGTGGCTGCATGAATGTCTACAAGGGGAATGTTTTTTTTTATTTGGCCAACTTAGCATTATATGTATATTATTATTTATATATTTTGTTTTCAACAGATTGATGCATACACTCCCTCTCGTCTGCCGAACATGACGTAGGCCAGCAGGAGACACAGGATGATGGCGAGGAACAGCGGCACGATCACTGTCACGATGTAGTCCGGGAAGAAGTCTCTGCTCGGGGGAGACTCGGGGGGGTTGAAGTCTCCTCCGTCCTCCAGAATCCCCGAGCCCACGGGGGGAGCGGGCGGAGCCGTTGCCTGCTTAGTCAGATCAAACTGTGGGAAAAAGGAAGGGAAACGTCAAAATGTGTCTTTTGGACAACATTTGTGTGATTAGTCATACATTTATTTGATTGGTAATTTTTTTTTCAAGCAGAAGTCAAAAATGTAATGGTTCCTGGTGCCCTAGCACATTTAAATGGGATTATTATACTATGATCTGATGTTTTATAGATGAAACAATTATTCAATAAAGCAAAAACATTATTGCAGCACCAAAGAGTTCAGGACCTCTCTAGTGGGTTACAAGTTGAATAAGAGGGGCTTTGCTTTTTCTTTTTTTGTAAAGAACTGGAGGAATTTAAATCTTCAGACCTCAAGAAATACAATTCTTTAGCAATCAGAACATATTTTGGGGTTTATTTTAAATATGTTACCTGGATTAATTGCCTAACATGGTACGAGGTTCACATGTTTAAATTATAATTATAATATTTATAATAATACCTTTTATTTGGAGGTGCCTTTCAAAACACCCAAGGACACCTTACAATTCATAAAATATTCTAAAAAAGGTGAAAAAAAAGTAGAAGCACAAAAACACACTTTCTCCTTTAAAGGTCCCATGTCATGGCCATTTCTACTGATCATAACTCCACCTTTAAATAGTAAAAACAATGTTTTGTATTCACTTTTAAATATATAAGAGACAAGCATAATGACAAATTATCATTCTTAATGATAAATATATTTGATAGATTTTTAGAGCCCAAGTTAACAAGTTCAAGTATATAATTGTATCATACTAAAAAAGCAAAATGGGGAAAAAAAGAATTTAAAATACTGTTTTGTATTTCTTATTCCCTTAATCCTACCCTATTCCCTAGAAATAATTAAAATATTTTCAAACTAATCCAAAACCCTGACATTTAAAGAGAATGTACTTTGCATACAAGTTTACCATGTCAAGTTTCCATAAAACTGGATCGCTAATTCTTTATATTTTTTAATTAATAAAGAATCGTGTCTTTTCAGGCCTCACCAGCTCCGTCTTGCACCAGGTGATGCAGTTGCTGGGAATGCTGCAGAAGTTACATTCTCCGGGGACCTTGACCTTGGCTCCAGCTGTGCACTGCTTTTCATGCTCTGCAGTCAGCACCCTCAGGAGACAATCTGAGAAATACTGCTCCGAGGCCACCTTCACATACACACTGAAACACATTTAGGAACACAGTTATTATGAAGTTTCAACGTACAGCCTGTCACTGACATCTCTTTGATTACCCTTCAAAGTGTCCTGCCAGCGGGAGGGGAACTCTGCCGCCGCGGTCCAGGGCGTTTGTGATGTTCACTATTTCCAACTCCTCCGTGTCCCACAGCTTCTGTAGATCATGCTTTATCTCATCCTGAACAGAAGAGGGCAGCACCTTCTCAATCTCCCTCAGCTTGATGAAGAACTCAGCTTCATAAGGCAGAATCTTCTCTGTGAGGGAGAGCAGGGACATAGACATGTCATTATTACACTCCATTGTTTAACTGTACATGCATCATCATTTAAATGTCCATTACCTGCAGTGGCTTTGATCACCAGTATGTGTCTGGCTGCTTCATAGCTTCGTTTGTTAATGGCAAAGATCTGTCAGAAACAGAGAGTGTATTATCAACAGTACATCATACAGTAGTTATCAGTTTTCATATTTTTACACAATAGATTTTTTAATATAGCGCTTTCTTGAAGACATTTTGTTTCTATATTTGACGACTTTTTCCATCGATCATGGTTTGTTGACGGGTGTGTTTTCACATTCAGGGAATTTGCTGTGATGTATTGGTGCAAAAGGTAAACATATTAAAAAAGAATTAAAGCAATTATTGCAACAAAAAATAACATAAATACAGAAAAAAAGGCCTTTAAAAAATAGGTGCAACAGACATAAATATAGAATACAATTAAAAGTTAAATGGCATATGAAAATAAAGTTAAATAATGCCTCAACCCTCTTGAGTTTGCCTAACTATTAATACATAATCTGTAATAACACTGAGAGACCTTGTGATCTCTGGCTTTATGTACTTTGACTATACAAAATGACAGTCTTTTAAAATGTTTTTTTTAAATATATGGCATTCTTAGTGAATTACAGGTATAAACAGACTTTCAATGTGATGGGAAATTACATTTAAAGATTTTATTATAGTTATATTTGTAACTTCTGACTGTTTACATATTTTTAGCGATAATGACTAAAGATTTGTATATTTTTATAGGCACCCGTGTCATTTGTTCATGCATTTTTGAAAAGGGTTGAAGTTTGGGAATTTAAGGAGTATTTATTAGATAGAGAGTTGTTGGTTACATCCAAAATGTTGCATGTTTTCCAGCTTTAATACATTCTGTTTGAAGGATATTAAAGTTCCACGTCATTTGCCGTCTCTTCTTCTTCAAAGATATGTGTCTTCATATATTTGTTTTAAGTTGGATCAAAACAACAGCACTACAGAAACACCCAAAGCTTTTGTCTCCGAGGGTCTGACAGCAGAACCTGACATTTAACACCAATGTTCCGGATAGCTTCTTAGAATTAAGATTTGTCTCCGCTGTTATCCTTGTTTGGCCCTTTATCTACTGAACAACAACAACAACAACAACAACAACAACAATAATGTCAGAATAAATACAGTAAAATGGAAAATTAAGCCACAGATGTCATATTACATTACATGTTACTTGTCATATGCAACAGATATCACTTCAGACCTCAATTATAGTTTTTCCTGGAGCAGTTGGCGTGCCGTACAGGAATCCATTATCGTAGGGGTGCCTCTGGGTGAAGCGCAGCCACTCTGGGAGGTCTGGGAAACTCTGCTGGTTGCACTTAAAAATCATGGGGTCATCATACAAGCGGCCAGCTTTATGAAAAACAAAAAAGAGAGTAAAAGGGTTGAGGAACATGCAATAAGAAAATCTACACCTTCAATAAAGATGATAAAAGAGTGGATAAATATGATTCTTACCGTAGAGTTTTGACAAAGGTTCAAAGTCATTCTGGAAATACTCTCTCAGCAGCTCGTATGTAAATAACTTCCCCACAGGAATGGTAACTTTGATCTCTGCATTTGCCTCAAAGAAACTGACAGCACAAACTGCGAGGACATGTGAAAAAAAGATGTATCTGAATGGTCAAGCAAAACTCTTCATTGACATACAAAATAAAATATGACAACACACACCGTCTGATGTTGTTGTCTAACCGTTAAAGTCCTACAATACTCGACTGATTAAATCAGGACCAAATGTCCTCAGGACCAAATAACAACAGACACAAAGAAACTGGCTTTCCAGAGTTGTTATAATACATCAAGTTATAATATTTCAGGAATAAACTTGCCTGTTAAACAGAGGAGCCAGCTCCTGCAGCCTGCCATCTTGTTTGGGTCTGTGATTGACAGGGCCAAGCGGAGAGGGGCTTGGTCACAGCAGAAGACATGTCAGAGCTATTTTTGCCTCACTCACCTCATAACATCCGGGGAGATGTCTGTGAATGTGTGGGGGGTAAATAAAGAGCCGTATTATTCACTCTGGAGATATATAACCACCGGAGTTACTTTAGGCATGATGTTTCCATACTTAAAACAAATAAGTACAATTACTCAAGTACTTGCATATAATATGGAGGTTCTTTACATTAGTTTATTGCTACTTTATACTTCTTCTAGGGAAATATTTTAGTTTTATTTATTTGACAAAATGTATCTGATGACTATAGTTACTATTCATTTTTAGCTTAGGATTACACCAACAGAACATGTGATAAAAAATAAAATATACAAAGAAGTTAAGCTGAGCTCTATAGATGAGCTCTAGTGACATTACATTTTGGGTTACATGTAATGCATCAAACAATGAAAAGCAACTAAATAAAAATAATATCACTGAATAAGGTTATATTCTGCCTAATAAGAACTTTTATCCTATATTGACAAAATACACAAACCATAATAACAACAGTAACTACAAAGTGTATTCAGTTACAACATATAACACAAGTGACATATTAGCAAGTCGCAATCCATAATATGTTTTCTTTAACTCCCATTGGAGTGAAAATGTAAAATGTCACTTGTGGACAAACTTTTCCAAAATTATCATAAAAGTAACACATAGCAACTACACAGATAAGAACATTATTTGAAAGAGACATGAAACATCTACAAAGAAACACAACAGGAGTACAGAAAGCAACCATAACAAATAACTACAAGACAAAAAATAACTACAAAAGGCTAATAACAATTGCAAAGTGAAACAGAACAACTGCCAAAACACAAAAGGTTTGTTTTTTGTATTTATGAAGCCAACCCAAGAGCCCATTGTATAGGGACATGATATTCTGACAGAAAAAACCTTCACAGGTTAAGAGAAGAAAGTCCCGATTGTTGCAAAACCAATATTGCAAGGAAGAAAGATTTGTTTTTATAAAATATTTCCTTGTGTAGTTATGTGACATGTGTTTGTAGGCTAGCTAGATGGCACTACTGCCTTACTGAAGTTATGTACATCCTGTTGGACAGCAGTGCACTTCAGTATTTTCAGGCAATACTACTCTAGTTATGTCCTCCAGACTACATAGTCACCTTCTGTAAAAAAAAGAGGACATATTATGATAAAAGGGAAAATTAAGGACAGCTTTGAAAATGAGTCTCATTTTGTTATTTCCAATGTGTGAAAATACTGCTCTGAAAAATACTACTAATGTGTTATGGCCTGCCGTTGTAGATAAATCAGCCTCCGTTGAACATTTGGAAACTGATACGAGATGTGTAAACTCAAAACCAAAAAGGGAAATGCTTTGTCTAGCTTCAGTGATACTGTTTAATGTATATCTATCAGCACAGATGCAGAATGCAGGAAGCAACAATGTGTCCTGCAACTAACGGATGTGTTATTGGTCACAGAGGTTTGCCGTGATTGAAGTTTACTGGGTCCTAATGCCAGTGTTGTTCTCTGACAGCCAAATCCATCTCAGTAGTTTAATATTCCATGGCTATCTATCTACAGATTTATAAGGAGGACTGGTGGTAAACATTGTAAACATTAGCCAGAAAGTCTCTCAAACCATGATATTTTTTAACCATGTAGTTTTGTTGCCTACAGGCTTTACATTTTAACCATTGAGATATGCTATCTATTAATTATCCCAATTTTTTTGTGTTAACTATTCAACTGTTTATTTTCTGCTAAAAATAAACTTTAAAAAAAAAGCATTTTCAACCATTTATCCACTAGCAAGGCCTCTGTTACCTTGAGCCTTTACACTAATTATCAATTATGTTTAGCTTTATGTATCCACAATTTTTCGCTGATTCAATAATTTGTCCATTACTTTTTGCGGTCATGCATCCAATTGCTAGCTTTCGAGATATGACATAGAAATATAATTTACCGAATACAACTTTTGTAAGAATGATTCAAATGTTATACTTTGAGAATGTGTGATTAATGGGGACTAGAACATTTTTATTTACCTTTTTTTATGATTAACTGTTTCCTTTAGCCTATTTTACCCGTTAGCTTTAGATAGCTTAGCTACATCTACTTGCTAAGCTAACTGTTTAGAAATATCTTGATTGAAAAGTTTATTAACAGCTTGTATATTGGGTACAGTACAGTACAGCTCAAATCTCAATCTACTGGCTTTCTAACTCATTTTAAGGTGCTTTTCTAACATAATTTCGCCAAATGTATTATCTGAATGAATATGTTTAATAAAATCACAATTTCTACGTTTGCAAATTAACTGAGCTAATTTACTAGTAGACCTCAACAATGGAATTCAATTAGTTACAGTTACCCCCTTGATATCCCTGATTTGTCTCTAATCCACGGGCACTAGGACCCGGCGGCTCCCGGCTCCATGCAGCAGCGCTCTGCCGCTGCGAGAGGAGGACCAGAAATCTGCAGCTCACGGAGGGAAGAGATCAAAATGATGCTGCCTGTAAAAAGGGATTAAACGTAAGCAATCTGTCGTCAACTGCGGTAAATCGGCTGCTCATTACTGTTCTTCTTTTCTGTGCAAATATGTGTTTTTATGACTAATGCATTTATCGTTGAGGTTTACATTGTGGTAATGGCAAGCTAATGACAGATGCATCGTGCTCACTTTCTCCTTTACATTGAATTGCAGCGGATGCAAGCAGGCCTTTAATACGATCTGTTGTTTTTGTTTCTCCCCATCTGCCGGTGTAGTCTGGGCGCCACCTTGCTCGGATCGGCTGCTGGTGGATAACACAGATTTGCCACCGGGGGTTGAGAAAGGAGACATGCCGTCGCTGAGCATCCGTTGCGACGCCTGAGTGACCATGATGAAGACAGAATCCACCTCCAAGAGCACCGGCTCTGGCTCCACGCTCAGGAGCCCATCCCCGCACAGGAACGCATACGAAGCGGGGATGCAGGCCCTGAAGCCCGTCAAAGACAATGCTGCCAACGGGGACATGCAGGATTGCCCCCGAGGGCGCAGGTACGGCTCCAACGTTCACCGTATCAAAAACATGTTCCAGCAGATGACGACCACTTCCCCAGCCGATGCAGAGGGAGAGGTAGAGGGAGAGGTAGAGGTAGAGGGAGAGGGAGAGGGAGAGGGAGAGGAGTGCGTCAGGACCGCCGACACATCGGTGCGCCTCTCCCTCCCCAGAGCCGGGAGCCTGAACGAGAACGTGGACCACAGCGCGCTGCTGAAGCTCGGGTCCACTGTGTCTGAACGCGTTAGCAAGTTCGACATCACGAAACTGGAAAATGGGCACCCCAGGGCCTCATCACCCAGCTACTCCAAGCTGCAGGAGACCCGCCGCATCTTCGAGCAGCAGCTTGAGAGGCAGATGCAGGAGAAGCTGCTGCAGCAGGAGAACCAGCAGGAGCAGGAGCAGGAGAACCAGCAGGAGCAGGAGAACCAGCAGCAGCAGGAGAACCAGCAGCAGCAGGAGAACCAGCAGGAGCAGGAGAACCAGCAGGGGCAGGAGAACCAGCAGCAGCAGGAGATCCAGCAGCAGCAGGAGAATATACAGCAGCCAGAGAAGCTGGCCACCACCAGGGTCCTGCTGAAACCAGAAAAGCCCCCAGGCTACCAGGAAAGCAGGTTGGAACTGATGGCTCGTTTCAACGGCAGCACAGAGTCCCTGGACAGCCTGGACTGCAGCGAGGCTGTGTCCCCGACAGTCAGCCAGCTCAGTGCAGTGTTTGAACGGGCAGCCGAGCTCCGAAACAACCTCCACCGCCTCTCATCTACCCCACCACTCCCTTCCAGGGGGGTCAGCGCCAAGGTGGGTGTGTTGAACTCCAAAATAATCACAAAGAGGGTTTGTGCCTTTGCAGCAGGCAGCAAGGAGGAAGGCGCAAGCAATCAAATGGGCCAAGAGGGGCCTCAAAGGGGAACCAGGGGGAGGGCGACGCCTCCATCTGATAGCATTAATGGGGGTCAAAGCACACAAAACACTGAACTTTACAGTACTGTAGGAGAGCAACATGAGAAGAGAGAAAAGACAGTTTCAGATGCAGGGGTTGAGGTCAAATCTGTGGAACACTATGGGGCCAATAAGGGGTCTAACAGCACAACACTGCAAGGTGACATCCACATCTCTGTGGAGAACGGAGACACCACTGCTGAGAAGCTTCGCTCTGGAAAGGGGGGTGAGACGGAGGAGGAAGACAGGACACTAGACCAGTCGGGGCGTGATTCTGTGGATATCAGTACCTACAGCGCGGTGGGGGAGGACTTTGGAGGAAGCCAGGTGGATGAGGAGGAAGAGGAGGAAGATGATTCCTATGAGCCAGAGTCCAGCTGTGCAGAGATTAATGGGCTGCCTGCGGAGGAGGACCCGCCCCCTTCAAGGAAGATCCGCTTTAGCATTGAGCCCATCAAGGTGAGAAAATATGCAGTCGCGAAAAACATGTGGAGTGGTAGAACATGAAGGTGTCACCAGACGCTCATCTAACTAGCTAGGGTGCTGATTTCTGTACATATTCTGTGTTTGGTTTCACCCAGTGTGTTGAGAGGCCCATTTGACTTGACCTTAAAGTTTATCTACCCTGCTACAGCCATAGTCAGCGGCGCTGTCAGCTGTTTTAATGAATTCACTCAGCTTCTGCTGGTGTCAGAATGATGCTGACATTTAGATTTTACCCTGTTTCAACACGGGGCTTTGCACACTACCAACAGCCCCCTCCCCTCCGCACTAGCCAGTTGCTAATGAACGGTCCTGCATTCCTACTGTGCAGCTGACATGGGCCCCAAAAGATCTGCCATGTAGATACTTATCTGATATGCAGTGGGATCTGCTGCTTCTGTAAATAATTGCTGGGGGAGTAGGAACAAAGAGGCCTGAATAATTATTCCTGTTTTAAAGAAGTAGATACTCTGCTGTGGCCAATGCAAGGTCAGCGGGAAAGTCCACGGGGAGCTGGGTGAGGAATGGAGTGGTTTTGTGTGTGCGTGTGAGAAAGAGAGGGAGGAAGTGAGAAAAGAGGCTGCGATCTCCTCTTGGAAGATGAGAGAGGAGGATAGAGAGGAGGGGGTGGAGTTTATTTAAAGTGTCTCCCCGTGTCTGGGGGGTGGTGTAATGATCTGGAGAGGAGCATCAGATCCTCTCCTGCTCTGTCCCGCTGCTCTGCTCTGCCTTGAGGTCTGAGGCATACAGAGGCCAGCTACAGTGTGCACTGACAGTGGGCATCACAAACATTCCCTCACGCAGAAAGCCATTTCAGGACCAACCAAGTCGAAAGTTGCCACTGCTCTCTCCTCATGGCTGCACATGGGAGAGCCTAGTCAAGAGAGCTGGTATTTAGAGAAGGGATGAACAATACATTATATTTTCACCATCATAGCATATTTGTATGTAACCATCGTGCTTTTTTTTTATTGGTGCCCAAAATTCAACAAGCAATTTATTATATTTCATCTGAACACTGAAACTAACAGAAAGGCTGAAGTTATAACATGCTAACATCGGTTTATTTATTGCATTCATTAGCTGTATTCAACAATGTTATTGTATATTTTCCTCATACCTTATTTAACTATTATCAGGCCTATATTTGGTTTTAAAAGAGTTAACAGGGATTGCCAAGAGTAAGATGGAAAAATGTCAACCGCTTTCATGCCTTTATGGTAAATATGAAGCTACGGCCAACAGCTGGTCAGCTTAGCTTAGCACAAAGACTTTAAACAGCTAGGTAAGAAAACATGCTACCAGCATCTCTAAATTTCTAAGCAGGTTTCCTAAAGTCATGAACTACTCCTCTTCATATGTCAGTAGTTCAACTCAGATTACAGTAATGGTAAAGAGTGCGACAGTTGGTGGGGGTAATGCAAGAAATGTATCATTTCTACAAAGGAAGGTAATGTGAAAAATCTGCTCTGTTAATGTTTTCACGAGGAAGGAAAACCATTTATATTTGTCAGGCCTCAAGAACACACACAATGCTCACTGTAAACATAACTCTTCACATACAAAACCTATACATTAAAGGGGACCTATCATGCAAAATGCACTTTTTGATGTCTTTTATACATAAATATGTGTCCCCGGTGCGTCCGGGAACTCACGCAGCGTCAGAAAAGAAAACCCTCTCTCTTTTCCTCCGTACCCAAATCTTTTAAAAACGGGGGTACAACGAGCGGATACAGATTTGCTGCCTACATGACGTCAAATCGGCGGCGGACCCACAGAAAGTTGCTATCAGAAACAATGCCTGACGTGTTTTGGACATAATCTCGTCTTTGTTTACATTAGCAAGCCTCGCTAACACTCAGAGCTAACCTGTACTGGAGAGCATGTGTTTAAAAAGCAGGAAATAAAAAAAGAACTCACCTTGTGATAAACCCGCAAAAGAAAAAGCATTTGAGCTCCATACTGTTTCAGAAATAATCCTTGACGTGGTTTAAAACAGGATGGCGTTTTATCACAGCAGATTTTAACTTTATCTCCGGTAGAATTCTGATCAGGCATTAGCTCCGCATCCTCTTTTTTTTTTTCAAGCTAAGGACCCAAAATCCAGGGCTGCAATAGAGGGGTATGAGCAGTAGGCACGGCTACAATGGGTGATCTGTTTGGTATTTTAAGCAAAAAACTTCACAGACATGTTTTGTATAGGTATGGCCCTACAATATATGTTTACAATATAGCATCATAGGTCCACTGTAAGAACATGTTTAGGTATTAAGCAGAAAAAAAAAACTGTCTTTAACACCTTAATTACGAAACCAAAAGGGAGCCTATTGCATTTTAGCACAGCAATCTCTATGAGTGCATCTGCCAACAGATGTAAACACCAACTTTTTTTTTTGCTAAGCCAATATTGGGCTCTATCCAAGCTGGATGGAAGCAAACCGTTTTTGAAAATCCCACGAATCCCTTATGATTAGGCCTCAGCTTAGCGTGTTGTCTATCATGCAATTTTACTGCATGAAAGAAAAAGACAAAAGCAGACTTCTATCATATTACTTAATCCTCATGGGATCAAAGACGGTTCTTGGTCGGAAGCATTATGTGATAAAGAAGTCAGAACTCATAAGCTTTGATAAACAGGCTGAATTTGGTTTTGGACCCTGCAGTCATCTTGGCAGAATAACCTCCTACGGAGTCCTTTCACACTGTATCAGTGTGGCCTTTGTTATGGAGATTGATGCAGGGGTGGATGATAGTTGAGGGGGGCTTGCGAGGTCAAATGGGAGGGGCGTTATTTTTCTGCTCAAATGTCATGCGTCTGTATAGCTGTAAGTCACAGTTCAAGCCCTAAACAGGAAGTGCCCATGTATGCAACAATTCAGCTTTCGGCCACAATCAAGTATTGTTGTTGTGGTGATGGCGGTTGGATGTCAGGGCGCATGTCTCTTTTCTTTGTCCCCGTTTTACACTACACACTCCTGTCTGTCTGTCCCCTCACACTGTCAAAAATAGCAGTTCTGCTCCGGGTAGAGTTCACACTAGATCCTTTGTTTGCTCCTTCTGACACTCCTTCTCTCGCTCCTTCTTTCCTCCCTTTCGCTCTTTGTCACCAGTTAGTAAAAATAGCAGCATTGTTATCGTCACAGACTTGTCTCGCTTTTCAGGGCCGCCTCTTTTTTTTTCTGCCTCTCATGCCTTATTTATTTGTTTCGCTTGTTTGTTTTGGCTCTTTCATTCTACATCACAACTGTATCAACACTGTAGTGTGTGCTTGTTAATTATTTATCCTTGTAAGAGCAAACCTTTTTAAAAGAGGCGTAAAATGAGATAATCTCCACTGGATTTGCGCTGTGTTCCCCTCCAAACCAGAAATAATCTGATTTATTTTTCATGCTGCAGAATCACCTTGCTCACTCATCGCCTAGCCTGC